AAACTAGTGAAGAATGATTTTTGATGATAAATAGAATCTCACCCTCGTGTCTACTGATATCAATTATATCAACACTCGTTGATAAAGGTAAAAATATCCTCGGCAAGCCTCGGATATTTGTACCTTTATCAACTCGTGTTGATATAATTGATATCAGTAGACACTTGGGTGAGATTCTCTATATCTAATGCATTTCCATATTGGCTGTACAAAGTCATTACTTCAGACGAAGTAAATATCTAGGATTGTCCACTCTCCTTTGGACAGAATCTTGGTATCAATTATCAGTCAGGTCATCAGTTATCAGTTATCCTAACCCTGTCTGTTTGTCGTTGTGTGCATCAATAAGATTTGCCTTTAGAGATAAGAGATAAACAAGCACTAGATGTGGCTTCATCCGGTGTATGAATTTCCATGTTTAATTAGGAAAGTAGTTCTGTTTAGGATACACTTAAACTGACATTGGCATGGAAAGTACATGTCATGGGATACTGACAGAATGACATCATGGCCTTTCTTTCATTTAAGGATCGTTGGGAGTTTGAGGTGTTTGTTTGTTTGTTTTCCGTATTGTTTAATAGCAATAGTCCAGCTATATGGCGGCGGTCTGTAAATAATGATTTCGAGATCAGACAATCCAGTGGTGAAGAACATTAGCATCGATCTACGCAGTTGGGATACGATGACATATTTTAACCAAGCCAGTGAGTCACCCGATCCAGTAAGTCGCCTCTTATGACGAAAATGGGTTGCTGAAGACAAATTCCAAATATCTTCACGGGTGAACTCTTTGAGGTGAGTATTAGGATAATGTGTTCACCCTAGCAACCTGTCTAATCTGAGGTCGCCATCCGCACTTGTTTTCTAATGCATTACATGGCATGAAACGGTTGTTCTTCAAAGTTAACACAAACATTTAATATTCCTTCAGAGAAAATATGAAAGGACTTTACAATGGACGAAAGAAGCCATGATAATTACGTACGCCTTCTTGCTCATATGTATTTTAAACCCTATACAGTCCTGCAATTAAAGTCCCTTTGTGACACACACGCTCTTATGAGTAGCATCTTAAAATAAATCCAATTCGCGTTAGATTTCAAAAGTTCCGGTTTCACAAAAGTGTTTTGCGAAAACAGTCACCAACAACGCTGCAACGTCCATCATTGAAGCTATTCCCAGTACGCAAATAGCTCCATAAAACTCATTCAGAGCCTGTCCAGCACCTAGGGATTCATTAGAAAACCAGTAATGAGGTCGATTCCTCTACCGTAGTGGTTATGGCTGTGTTACGAAATAACCTAAAACGAGCAATGAAACGAGGCAAATTGCTGGTCATTGATCATGATTTGACACAAACCGTCATTACACTGTTACAAAACACCATAATCAGCCGCTGTGCACCTGTGTCATTGAAGACGACAGAACACCTATCGAGGGTCCACATATTCTTCTTGACTAATGAATGAATGACTAATAGGCAATTATTTTCAATTTTTCCATCTAATGACCATTACCGTTCTCAACACGGACACCTGCACGTGACCAACTTCAAATATGTAAATTATCGCGTTGGTCATAAGTACATACATACGTCGCATTTATCATTCCACAAAGTTTCATTGCAAGACAGATGTGACTGAGCATAATGAGGCAGTAAACAGTACGTCGTTACTGAAGACGTGTCAGCGAGGGCTTGTTTTCCCTCGACGTTGAGAGTCATAAGTCATGGTTAACGTCGATCATCAAATGATGGAGATAATTATCTTCCAAGATTCATCTCCTGACGTTTAGAGTCATGTTTAGTTTTCTCTTTATTAGCCAATTTGTAGCTGAGGCTGAATAAAAGTGATCTCTTGTCGCTTGTTCACTGACAGAAATGAATTATTACAACATTCACAACGCAAATTGAAATATCAGTAGCCATCGCTGAGAAAGTTATTTCACCCTGAACAGGAAACATTCTTTTGGGATGGGAACACCGATAGTGAATGTATAAACTAAATAAACATTATATATAAAGTCCATTGTTCTAGACAGACATTTGTTAATCCGGATTTCGTAGTTAACATCCTGTCCGTATTAACAGGGTTGCAGTTTAATGAAGAAACATTCAATGTCGACTATGTTTTTGCAACAGAATCTAGGTCATACAATGTAAGAACTCCCTACGGCTATGTATGATTAATATATGACCATCTTGAAGCCGGCGTGAGCGCAAAAAAAATAAAATAATCACAAATATTGTTTTCACGAGTGTGGGTGTGCTTTGTTAAGCTGCATGCTTGACAACAGGACAAAACCCAATGTTAATAACAGTGTGATAACAATGGGAAACATGCCCGAATGCATCATGCCTATTGATTACGTGAACAATAGCGCCATGATGATGAAACATACAAACCGTACCTTTGAAACCTCTCTAGACATCACCGACAAAGGAGCGTCGGTAATTGTATCTGAAGCTGAGAATGCAGGATAGTGCACCTGTGTGCTTTTCAATAAGAACGCATCTTGAGGTATAAATAAAAAATGTGTATTTGCATACAGCTGTTTTAAGTATTAATAAGTCAGATAAGTTTTTAGCATCACAGTATAATTGGTTATTATCGACTGACAACTTCGTCATGGGTCTCTTAGCGTGCCTCAGGTAAAATGTCTGGTTAATAATTCCCACGAAATGACTGTTTCATCGGATGTTGCCACATGGTACCCTGTGGCTGGTCGCTTCCTGTAACTTTCACCTTTTTTCATTTAATTTTAAAAACGGAAGGTGTTTGTGTTTTCACAAGTTCTGCCTTGCGTTTAGAAAGGGTCTCATCATAATCGACAACAGCAAAATTAACATTTTCCAGGTTTTGTTTTATTCCCGTTTTACACAAGTTCCACAAGTGATCATATCTTTCGCTCGACGAATACATACTCGACTCTCGACGAGTTCGAATCCCAACATGGGTAAACATGGGTACAACGTATGAAGCCCAAATCGGGTGTCCTCGACGTGATGCTGCTGGAATTGGTAAAATCATACTTATTAACACACTCACTATTACTGAATATTGATCTAAAGACATAAAACCATACTGATATTCATACTCGGTATTATATTACAATAAATCAATATATTACGATATACGATATATTACAATGAGCATATACTACACTCGATCTAAATGATATATTTATTGATACTATTTTTATGTATTTACTAAATATAATCTTCTCTGGATAACTTCACCGTGTGAAGTATTCGCTGATACGTGTCCTGTACGTGGTGTGTCTCGATCACCTCTCTTCAGCACACAGAAATGCTATCGTTTTAAAAACGTAGGACGTCACCCTAACTACCCATCCGTCCTCTTATCCAACCATCCGATCGACTGATCGCCCAACCAACCAGCCAATCAGTCAACCAACGAACAAGATTACAACCAGCCTCTCATGCAACCAACCGACTGACAAACTATCCTCCTATCCATCTAACCAACCAGCCACCCATCAAACCGATCGAACGACGGAACGACCAACCAACCAACCAATCATCAGACAGACGGACCGACCAACCAACCAACCAACCATCCAACCGGTCAACCAAAGAACCAGACTCCAACCAACCAACCACCCATCCGACAGACTGACCAATCAACCAACCACCCATCCGACAGACTGACCAATCAACCATCCTCTCATCCAACCACCAGCCAGCCAACCATTAGCCCACCAGTCAACCAACTAACCAAAAGTAACATATGTTTAGGTGCCTGACTCTGAGGGTTCGAATCCCGGATGGGACACAACCCAACAAAGGTTCTAGAATCTGTACTTTCCCGAGAAACGTTAATGCGACTTATAACATATCCTACATTTGACATATTTCTAAATGGCATTGATCATTCATAACTAACCCACCGATCGATTGACTAACCAGCCATCTAGCTAACCAGGCTGTTTGCTCGAAGACCAATAATCCCACTATGGCTACAGGATCTGTAGACCAGACATCCCTTAATCTACACCTGCGTGACATAATCGGTCAGCGCTAGTCCTGTGGCACATCCACATGAGCTACCAAACGTCATCATGAAGAATATATCTGACAGTTCTGACCGCAGTCTTTGGTAATGCATCTCCATAAATAGCTCCTTTGTCTTGACGTCTGTGTTTGTCTCTGCATCAACACACAGATACCTGTCACGTCGGAGCATGGTAGAACATTGAAATCTTACTTTGGGTTTGTCATTCAAAATGTGATGCAAATTATCACTGCAACACCGTTGATATTTTAGTTACACAGAATCAGGCGGTTAAAGTTCATAAATCAGTACTGGACAGCTCAACACAGGCAACAATCTGTGGTGGGCCCAGGGAAGTTCAAACCAAAACGCAATCATAATCCTTTAAATAAACACAAGAAAAAGTCCAATACGATTCGCCTTCCTGCAAATACCGAACACCAAAGACTTATCAATTGTCTACTTGTACCTGTTACTCCTCTTGTCGTTCTTATATAAGGAGTATACCAGTGAGGCCCTACAAATCCATATCTCGTCTGAAGATTAATGTCATGATGGATGTAAAAGAAGTGTAGCTGATAGCATTCTTACAAATCAATAGTCCTGTCGACGCTGATCGATAATTTGGTGGTGATGATGTGCCAAGAGGTTAAAGGACACTGCGATCCGCTGCTCAGTGTTGCGTCAACCTCGAATCCATGAGCCATATTATGAACCTTGATTTGCCATCCTCTCCCATGTCACATTTGTTACCGCCTGCGATCCCTGTCTCTTTACGCTGCTCTGCTATTACAAGCTGACACGCTCTTGTAGCAAAATGTTGTTCAAAGTCTCTGTCTCAGCCAATCAAGAATTCAGCTGGGAGGTATCCAGCATTTAGATCATGAGTGCTATGCTATTTACTGTAACCTGAATGTGATGTGGTTTTGTCAGTGTGTTTTGGCAGTTCATGAGTTAGTTATGTATATTTTCTGTTGCCCTTTTCAGGCCTGAGTATGCGCACATGCAGGGGCCTTCTTGAAGCTGTGACTCGGCGGAAGTTATGGGATACACGGAGTTTACATGATACAAAATACAAGCGATGTCTAAACGTCGTCGACTTGATTGGAATTGGTGAGTAACCTTCGATTGTGCTTACACGAATAATCGATTTTCATATCGGCCACCATATCATTTCATGTGTTTTTTCAATAATTTTAGTGTATGATATTGTTTACTATGCCCAGACGCTGTATAAAGGAAACCGAGTACACACTCTCTCTCTCTCTCTCTCTCTCTCTCTCTCTCTCTCTCTCTCTCTCTCTCTCTCTCTCTCTCTCTCTCTCTCTCTCTCTCTCTCTCTCTCTCTCTCTCTCTTTCAAAATCACTCTCTCAAAATCACTCATGCACATGCAAATATACCCACCAACTTACGCGCCATCGCATCAACATACCATCATACATATGCACATGAACACACAAGCACGCACACGCATACGCACACGCACACACACAAACACGATACACACATTTACACATAACATAACCAAACACGTCACATACACACACAAACCCATGTCCACAAATCAACTTAACGGACCATGTAGTCCAGCTATTTAACTTTGGTTCGTATCATCGAACCCGATCAATGTTAGGCTTTAATCATTATATTAATCACTGTTTTTCTTGTCCAAGCTCGAGTACACACTGATCGTCATTGGACTGAATACTACATGTTATGACTCTAGGTCCTAGCACAGCAACCTATATTCTAAACGCAAGATTGGTATTGGAACCAGAAGCAGATAGACAATGGTTCCAGTGACAAACACGTCTCATAAATCCACTACGAGAACACGATCCTTTTAGCAACCGTTTTAGCAAAGAACAGAGGACCCGAGAGTGTGTTGAACTAAAGTGTGTTGAGTGTGTTCCCTTTGTCAGTTGTGCAGCTATAGCTGCCAGTTTGAGAGATTTTGTGTGCACCATCATCCAAGAGACTCAATGTCGAGTGCTCATCCATTTGAGAACTTTCTGCGCTAAGCTGTATAGATCCGGATTTCGCCATTTTAGGAGCCTTTATCTTGAAGCACGTACTCCTTGTGACTTATTCTCTCAGACTAAAGCATCTATAAATACAACAGCAGAACCCAAAACACTCGAATGGAAAAGAAAACATGACACATTTGGGCATGCGTCAGTATTGACCGATGAATCCAAGGTGTTATTTGTTCATAAATGATAGAAATCCGGCCTTGCACGGAAAACAGCCTTTATTCTACAATCGTGCTTGTCGTCCTATACAAGACGGTAGAAAAAATAGCAAAATTATTTTAACGATTTTAACGCTCCAATAATAGATAGATCGTTGCCCGTGGCACCTGGATGTCTGTTAGGAGGCTTCCGTTGGCACGAACAACGTGCATGTCAGGAAAAACATTTGGATCTCTATCAATGTCAAAACCAGTTCTGAATATCACTAAGGTTTGCTTAAGGTACCACTAGACTATGAGTTTAAATACGATCGTGACATAACAGTTCTGGGTTCACAGTACAAACTGGAATGCCAGTCAGTTTCAATTTTAAGCATTATTTGAGTTCTATGAATATAAACATTGAAAATCGTAAATTACCGAGACACGGACTATAACAAGCACCTCGTTATTTTATTCCGCATCTTTGCTGTTTTAAGACATAGAGTAAAGGTATTTAAGACTGCACGCTATTTTCTAACGCTTGGTAAGGTCAATGCCATTTTTAATGTGCTCGTTATGCAACTGAGCCCGGACCAAATCTCTGGAGGAGGATGTGTATAATGTGTGGGCCGTATGTATCATTTAACGTTACCTCATCCGTTGGTCTTGCCCACTCTCCCTACTCGCCCTATGCAACTCATTACGTTATTCCTCGTCCGTTAGACTTGCCCACTTTCCTTACTTGCCTTAAGTGACTAAAGACGTTATTCCGGATCCGTTAATCTTGACCGCTCTCCCTACTCGCCCTATGCAGTACATTGCCTACTCTCCCTTCTCGCCATATGTAGCATATTACGTTATTCCTCATCCGTTAGACCTGCCCACTCTCCCTACTCGCCATATGTAGCATATTACGTTATTCCTCATCCGTTAGACTTGTCCAAACTCCCTACTCGCCCTATGTGGCATATTACGTTATTCCTCATCCGTTAGACTTGCCAACTCTCCCTACTCGCCCTATGTAGCATATTACGTTATTCCTCATCCGTTAGACCTGCCCACTCTCCCTACTCGCCCTATGTAGCATATTACGTTATTCCTCATCCGTTAGACTTGCCAACTCTCCCTACTCGCCGTATGTGGCATATTACGTTATTCCTCATCCGTTAGACTTGCCCACTCTCCCTACTCGCCCTATGTTGCATATTACGTTATTCCTCATCCGTTAGACTTGCCAACTCTCCCTACTCGCCCTATGTGGCATATTACGTTATTCCTCATCCGTTAGACTTGCCAACTCTCCCTACTCGCTCTATGTAGCATATTACGTTATTCCTCATCCGTTAGACTTGCCCACTCTCCCCACTCGCCCTATGTAGCATATTACGTTATTCCTCATCCGTTAGACTTGCCAACTCTCCCTACTCGCCATATGTAGCATATTACGTTATTCCTCATCCGTTAGACTTGCCAACTCTCCCTACTCGCCCTATATAACTCATTACGTTATTCCTCATCCGTTCGTCTTGCGCACTCTCCTTACCGAATGAGACTTATTCTTAGAGTAATATATTCTTTTGTGGTATACCATTTCCAATTTAACACCCGAATTATACATGCCGCGTGAACAACTATACTGCATGTTATGGTCGTTGCGATTTCACAAGTTAAATACGACAGCAATAATGAACCAATTTGTCATTAGAGCAGGTTAGGCCTCCACCTGGTAACGTGTGATAACACTGCCAATAGCCACACTTGATACACACCAGATCAATTCCAAACTTCACACATCACTGCTCTTGCATCAATACAGGCTGGAATCACGTGGGATGAAGTCACTGTGAAATATCATGTTACTTGAGCTGCACATGACGCAAGCGTTGGCTGCTATTTGCATCACATTAACTATCACCGAAAAATTCTGGTTTGCAGATGCAGACTACACGAACATTTGTAAAAGGGATATTTTTATGACTTGGGAGCGGATCTCAGCGTTCAGTCCAAACCTAACTACCATTGGACCTATAGCTCAGTTCATATCATACGGCATAATCCAGGATGTGTATTGTCCCGGGAGAATCTAAATAAAGGGACGACCAGTTGATATTGGTCGAGGTAGAATCTGTCAGAGGGAGAGGGAGAGGAGAGCTGGGAATATATCCAAAAACTAAAAAGAATATTCTTGAGAACAATATTGGTGACTGTTGAAAAAAGGCTGTTTCCACAAAAATTACATTGTTGCAAGGCGTGTTTCGTTTAAATTATCTTCAGATGTTCAGGTTTTATACCATCTCCATTTAAAATTCCGGGGGTCCCTCACAGATGTTTCAGGAAAGTAATGCTGTTTCATTTATGTGCTCTGCACTCTCCCTGTTTATCCTATCCTGTGGCTCGTTTAGGAATACCCTTCATCACATGTCAGTGTAGTGCCGTTAGTATTCACCAGGATTCATCTAGGCACTTTGAGATGTCAATCAGGACGCCTATTTCAATTGGCGTTAACTCAGCGATGTCATCTCATTCTCAAACATTAACCGTAATATGCAAAATAAGCGATACCTTAAGTAGATGCTGTACTGGGAGTGTGGTGCTTCAGCTCACTGACTCAAATAAGGACGTCACACCACTTAACTATATGAAGGAAGATTGATGCCGTTCTTTTGACATATATTGCTGAAACCAATTCCCGAATCAATCGAGTCAACTGCGCGTGAAATCATTGCTCTTAGAGAGGGTGATTTACAGACAGCTGTCTACAATGGTGACAGGAGAATTGTTACCTTATAACAGCTCTATAGATTGACAAAACTCCCCACATCCACGCTAATACACAACTATAGAACGTGTTTATTTTGCTGATGTCTGATTACAGAAAGGTTTAATATTGCTGCAATACATGTTGAGATAATTATATTGGTTCGTTATATTTCGATTATGTAAATTGATAAAGCTTTAGCCTATTGTTGTTGCTCTATAAAATACATAACGAAGCGATAGATATGTTTGCATTTGAAAGCAATACCTCTCGACTTGTGCAGAACCTGTTTTAGTAATGAAAGACATGCTGATCTGTTTTTGTTCTTCATAAATCCATTTCCTTGTTCTTCATAAAGCCATTTCCTTGTTCTTCATAAATCCATTTCCGTGTTCTCCATGTTTAAACAAAAGAATGTCACGACCTTTCACTGGTGTTCTGCATAATATTATGTTCATTTAAGACCTCAATAGTTTTAGGCATGTTTTAGATGGTACAAAGGAAATAATTGAAATCTATTCGTTATCTCGGACTGACTTAATACCCTCCCTGATGCCCTTGTCAAATGTTTCTGTATCACTAGATACAGTAATCCTTTTAGGATCCCCTGAGAAAATCAATCTTTTATGCTTTCTTTATACTGGAGCTTCCTGACGTCAAAGTTACCATCACCGCAGGAATATTGCTTGGAGGCTTTATTTGGCCATCATGGCATCAGCATTCTTATCAGATTAGTTTTTATTGCACTAATGCATAATGTAAAGCAACCAGCAAGGCACCTGGTAGAAGTAAACGGCAGTATTACACAACTGCAAACAATGTCATAGATGGCAGATTGGGCCTTAAACTGTAATGTCATCAGCCAGACAGATTAGTTGTGTGGGCAACCACCGTATGTAGCTCTGAAAGGCAATCGGTATTTAAATAAAGATGCAGGTAGTCATTAGGGACAGAATTAGAAGTAACTAATATGTTTTTTATGAGTTTACGGATGGTAGATATCATTTTCGCAATAAGTGGTTCCTCATAATGTAGATCTCTAATGTATTTCTGATTAGGTAGCGCAGATGGCGAAAGAGTTAAATGGTAATGACATGTATTGTCACCACTCCCTGGCTTGTGTTTGATGCGATGGTTTAACCTGTTTATATGCTGATGTATTCATCTAATAGTTGTAGCGTGCTGTTCATTAACATACGCTGTGCGTATGTTGATAAATAAGAAATGCATTAGTGTCATTATGACGTACTAAGTGACGGCCAATTGCATGTTAAGTGCAAATAGAGCGATTTACAAATGACATACCACCACTCAAGCATTGGGTACATATTATATTGACCTCTTATGTTTCTTTATTCCTTTTTTGGAACGCTGGGGTAGCATAGTGGTTAAAGTGTTCGCTCGTCACGCCGAAGACCGGGTTCGACTCCCCACATGGGTACACTGTGTGGATCCCATTTTTTGTGTTCCCCACCGTGATATTGCTTGAATATTGCTAAAAGCGGCGTAAAAACCATACTTACTCACTCTTTCAGCTTTCTGAAAAATAATTCATGTTAACCTTTTTTGACATACCTTCAGGTTTATTGTGGTTTAGTCGTTAAAATGTTCCATTCCTCACACTGATACAACGTGTGAAGCCATTTTTTTGTGTCCCGATATGTTTTAATATTGAGATGATCGGTGGCAAAACAAGCCATTCGCATCCTTAAAGAAGTAGCGGGTGTTTATGTCACATATAGATATATGTCACGCTGTGATGCTAGAAACACCGGTACCCATACGCAACACTATTTCAAATGTTAGAGAGAGTGAGTGAGTTAAAATTTGTAGTCACATCGACAATATTTCAGTCATATCGTGTCTAAAGCCGTCATACGTTAATAACTGATTATGTTATATGAAAAAATATGTAACCAAGGGACAGGAAAACAACTAGAATGTCACAATTACAGATTTAAAACTAGCATTTGACTATATTCACTACTTCCACGCCTTTTTGTACACCCGAAAAACAATTTTGGCGCAACCAGAATAGAATGCAACATTTAACAGCTTTACAAAGTTGCATTGTTAACAAAGTTGGAATACTTGTGTTCATAACGAATTTACTTTGAAAAAATACTTTGTTGTAAAACATTTTGATCACAGGATATTTTTACAAATACTTGCATCTTCATCTAAATAGCATTTTCTTCAGATGTTATTTTGTGTTTGTTGCAGGTACTGGGAGTAGCGCCGGCCTCGGGGTGTACGTGCTGTCAGCATATATTGCACGTGCAGAGGCGGGCCCTTCAGCTGTCCTGTCGGTACTGTTGGGTGGAGTGTCCGCACTTCTGTCAGGTAGGAAATTAGCTGTGGAAGAACTGTCTAATCTTTAAGGGCTTTACTAATCAATTTTCATTGGCTTTAGGTATTTTATGAAATTACAGCAGTGTACGAATGTGGTCACCTGCATGAACCAATGCACATATATTTCTGCATGTCAAGCCACTCTTCACAGTTACTAACAGTGAATCAAATGGAACTAACGAAAGCCTGATCTGTGACCTGACAGTAATGTCACTGGAAAACATTGGAGAAAGACTATTATTATCAAGGTAGATCTAAACGTCATCCGTGCGCTTGTGCAACAAAAATATAAATCACATATATCCATATATATCGTTGTCACTTTCTAGTGAGGTACAGATTGCTACAATATGTGACATGGCTTAGATTGCTTCAGTATGTGAAATGGCAGAGTTTGGGATTCCTACAATATGTGACATGGCTAAGTTTGGGATTCCTACAATATGTGACATGGCTAAGTGTTGGATTGCTATAATACGTGACATGGCTGAGTGTGGGATTGCTACAATATGTGGCATCGCTAAGCGTGGGGTTGCTACAATATGTGACATGGCTGAGTGTGGGATTGCTACAATATGTACATGGCTAAGTGTTAGATATCTACAGTTTGTGACATGGCTGAGTGTGAGATATCTACAGTTTGTGACATGGCTGAGTGTTGGATTGCTACAATATGTGACATGGCTGAGTGTGGCATTGCTACAATATGTGACATAGCTAAGTGTGAGATATCTACAGTTTGTGACATGGCTGAGTGTGGGATTGCTACAATATGTGACATGGCTGAGTGTTGGATTTGCTATAATGTGTGACATGGCTAAGTGTGAGATATCTACAGTTTGTGACATGGCTGAGTGTGGGATTGCTACAATATGTGATATGACTGAGTGTTGGATTTGCTATCATGTGTGACATGGCTAAGTGTGAGATATCTACAGTTTGTGACATGGCTGAGTATGGGATTGCTACAATATGTGACATGGCTGAGTGTTGGATTTGCTATAATGTGTGACATGGCTAAGTGTGAGATATCTACAGTTTGTGACATGGCTGAGCGTGGGATTGCTACAATATGTGATGTGGCTAAGTGTTGGATTGCTACAATATGTGATTGCTAAGTGTGAGATATCTACAGTTTGTGACATTGCTGAGCGTGGGATTGCTACAATATGTGACATGGCTGAGTGTGAGATATCTACAGTTTGTGACATGGCTCAGTGCGGGATTGCTACAATATGTGACATGGCTTATTTTTGGATTGCTACAATATGTGACATAGCTAAGTGTGAGATATCTACAGTTTGTGACATGGCTGAGCGTGGGATTGCTACAATATGTGACATGGCTAAGTGTTGAATTTGCTATAATGAGTGACATGGCTGAGTGTGAGATATCTACAGTTTGTGACATGGCTGAGTATGGGATTGCCACAATATGTGACATGGCTTAGTGTTGGATTTGCTATAATGTGTGACATGGCTGAGTGTGAGATATCTACAGTTTGTGACATGGCTGAGTGTGGGATTTGCTATAATGTGTGACATGGCTAAGTGTGAGATATCTACAGTTTGTGACATGGCTGAGTGTGGGATTCCTACAATATGTGACATGGCCTAGTGTTGGATTTGCTATAATGTGTGACATGGCTAAGTGTTAGATATCTACAATATGTGACATGGCTGAGTGTTGGATTTGCTAAAATGTGTGACTTGGCTAAGTGTTGGATTGCTACAATATGTGACATAGCTGAGTGCTGGAATTGCTATAATGTTTGATATGGCTGAGTGTGGGATTTGTTATAATGTGTGACATGGCTAAGTGTTGGATTTTCTATATTGTGTGACATGGCTAAGTGTGACATATCTACAGTTTGTGACATGGCTGAGTGTTGGATTTGCTATAATGTGTGACATGGCTAAGTGTTGGATTTGCTATATTGTGTGACATGGCTAAGTGTGAGATATCTACAGTTTGTGACATGGCTGAGTGTTGGATTTGCTATAATGTGTGACATGGCTAAGTGTTGGATTTGCTATAATGTGTGACATGGCTAAGTGTGACATATCTACAGTTTGTGACATGGCTGAGTGTTGGATTTGCTATAATGTGTGACATGGCTAAGTGTTGGATTTGCTATAATGTGTGACATGGCTAAGTGTTGGATTTGCTATAATGTGTGACATGGCTTAGTGTGAGATATCTACAGTTTGTGACATGGCTGAGTGTTGGATTTGCTATAATGTGTGGCATGGCTAAGTGTTGGATTTGCTATAATGAGTGACATCGCTAAGTGTGAGATATCTACAGTTTGTGACATGGCTAAGTGTGAGATATCTACAGTTTGTGACATGGCTGAGTGTTGGATTTGCTATAATGTGTGACATGGCTGAGTGTTGGATTTGCTATAATGTGTGACATTGCTGAGTGTTGGATTGCTACAATATGTGACATGGCTGAGTGTCAGATATCTACAGTTTGTGACATGGCTGAGTGTTGGATTGTTACAATATGTGACATGGCTGAGTTTTGGATTTGCTATAATGTGTGACATGGCTGAGTGTCAGATATCTACAGTTTGTGACATGGCTGAGTGTAGGATTGCTACAATATGTGACATGGCTGAGTGTGGGATTGCTACAATATGTGACATGGCTGAGTATGGGATATCTACAGTTTGTGACATGGCTGAGTGTTCGATTGCTACAATATGTGACATGGCTGAGTGTTGGATTTGCTACAATATGTGACATGGCTGAGTGTGGGATTGCTACAATATGTGATATGGCTGAGTATGGGATTGCTACAATATGTGATATGACTGAGTGTGGGATTGCTACAATATGTGATATGACTGGGTGTGGGATTGCTACAATATGTGACATCTGTCATTGTTTATCTGGCCGAAACTTCATTATGTAATGTCTGTCGAGAAATAGCTGTCATTCCACTTACTTATTTTAAATTGATTCGTAACGTATTTTTATGATAAATTCGGACTAGTAAAATGGAATCTTCTTTGAGAAGACATTACTTCTTATGGTAATGGAAATAAGTTTTGTCATCTATAGATATGTCCTACTGCGCCAAGCTGTTTGTTTCCCCCACAAACATTGTTGTTTGGAACGGGCTTCAATTCATTCTTCACAGTTCTATAGTTATGGTAGGCTCTAACACTAACCTACTGCTCAGTTTATCTACTGAATCAACTGTTTGCAGTGTAAAAGATAAATATGTACAGATTTATTGTTACATTTGTACACAAATAAACTGTACACACACTTCAATTTCCTGAGAATATTTGTTCGTAAACTACGTTTACCTTCCAAAGCCCATGTGTATATGTTGAAGTAATACCGGCAATGTTTCATTCTGCTTGTCCATTTTGTTATAAGTGTTTAGGCTATTACTAATAAATAACGTAGATGTTGATCTAACCCTTCAGTGTGTTTCCACATCCTGTTACCTATGATACGGTGTCAAGGTCGATATGGTGGTTTGAAATTGGTTACGTTTTCGTGAAGAATAAGAAGCTAATACGTCTGCCCCTTGACATTTTGCTCGGCATATCTAACGTTGTTGAGCCGCACTTTCGTATTGATTAAATCTCGACTTTTCTCGTTTTCGTCGAGGTTGTATTTGACTCAGGCCGCGAGAGGAGCCAAGGCGTTCTGCAGAAGGTAATCAGTGGACTGTAGACAGTGAAAGATGGCGTGAGACGACAGTTACATGTAGAAGAGTGTTGCTCTTTTCCTCGCGAGTGTTGTAAGCCGCTTTTTAGTGTATTTAACAGCTTCCTTGTGATTCGGAATCTCTTTTTTTCGTCCTCAGAGAGTCGCATCGTCTAAGATCGATTGTTTACGTTTCCTCTGCGGTTCTCGGTTAGAAATGAGCGCCAAGACAGTTCTGTTTTTCGTTGTTTCTTGCCTCTGTACAGATGGGAACCAACATAAGACGGTCGATGGTGGGAGTTTTTCAAACGATTATTTTGTACATCATTCGACGTTCGCTTAGTTATTTAAGAGAGTAGCTGTTAACTAAACTGACACCGAAAATGACTTCTGTTAATCCATGTACAGATTTAGTTACTGGTAAACATGTCGCCTAAGGGTCTGCTACTTCCTGTGATTGTGTATCCCGGCTGCAACGCTGAGGGCCTTCCTTTCACGTCACGCCGTGATATATGTGAATATCAATACACATTACCCTTGAATCCACAATGTCTAATAGAAAGTGATCTAATGTAATTACACTTTCTCAGTAAAGAACAGTCTCTCTCTCTCTCTCTCTCTCTCTCTCTCTCTCTCTCTCTCTCTCTCTCTCTCTCTCTCTCTCTCTCTCTCTCTCTCTCTCTCTCTCTCGATAGTTAGAAAGACAGGCAGACAGACTGATGGATAGATAGATGGGAGGATGGATGGATGGATAGTTAGATAGATAGATAGATATAAAGGTTTCCTATACGAAGACTCTTTGTACAGATTTTTTTCAGCTTTTGTTCAGAGAGCAAAATGAAGTTTCCAATTTTAAGTCGCCTCTGCGTAGCCATTCCTGCCTAGCGGGGTAATGTTGGGAGTAAGATAATATCCTTCATCACATAAGAAAACCTTGATGAATACTGAAGTGTGATTAGAACAAACTGAGATCATGAACATCTGTTGTAAATCAGGGACTGTATGGCTCCGCCGCCGGCCGGACATGAAAATCGCTCTGTCAAACACCTAGCAAGATCCCACCGGATTTTCAATCGATGTTGACCACTCTCGCTTAAAGCTGTAATTGATCTGTTGGCGGTCCACGTCGATTGCATCCCGGGCGGTCCAAGTTTAGATTTGTTTGCCTGACAAATCGAAAGTATTGTTTCCACTAACTACATTGCAAACCCATGTTCATGTCCGCGCAATGCTCAATTGAGTTTCAACGCTTGCTCATGGGCTAGGATTATTAACGTTTAAAGGACAGAGGCAGATATGTGTCTTTGAAGTCTCTAATTCGAT